AGTAACGTTGGACTTTCACCGGACATTGACCATTGTGTAAGACTAGCAGCCAACGCTGATGGCTGACACGCCGCGATGCCGTTCTTTGGATTGGGAGGAAGCTGGGCCTCCTCCAGATGAGCTTTTGGCGGAATCCTCTGATGACAGTGACGTCGTCGAGTTGGAAACTGCAGATCCTGCCGCGATAGCGAGGAAGCGGTTTTTTCAGAAAACAGCTACTACCAAGTCTGAAAATGTTTCCAAAAGGACGCGAGTAGCTCATGGACAGAGCACTGAAGTGGCCATCAGTGCCGAAACACGGGTGCGGAGCCGCTCAAAAGCGACTGTGGCAAGTAAGTGTGCCTGGCATGCCATACAACATTGTCAGGGAAGAAGAATATAATCATGTCCCATATTGCTACCGCGAGACACAAACAAGGAAAGTCCCGTTTGGAGAGGGAAACTCAGAGGCAGAGAGCGGGTCAAGGAGTCCTTCTTGGCGTATCAGAAACGACTTGGGAAGGCTCTAGCCGGCACCGGTCTTACTGAGGCCGTTAGTTCAGCCGAGTGTGCGGCGGATCCAGATTGTGCGTTCTGTGTTGCATAGCACGGGTGCAATATTATAGCGTTTTTCTTAGCCCGATACTGCAAGGTTCAGAGTTTATATTCCATCCGGCGGAGCATTATCAGCATTATTTGGAGGATTATATGGCCTTTTGTGGAGCATTACTGAGAGAATTGTATCCCATATTACGGAGCATTATCCGCCAACACCTAATGTTAAGTGCAAAAAAATATTTGCGAACCACGGGATAATTCAGCAAAATTAGTAAGCAGATGTTCAAGCCTTCAGTTCAACTTACCGTCCGTGGTAGTAAGAGACTTCGATCCGTCTAGGTGAGCTTCTGCCGAATTCTGCAGCCTCGTACTAGTTAGCAGAGAATTTGACTTTCAACTACGACAATCAGTGTATTTATTTTATTTATTTATTTATTTATTTATTTCACTCAACTCGTGGTTTATTATTATTATTATTTATTGCAACATCTCAAGACTCGGCGGAAACACCGGCCAATGTTACGAGAGTGGGTGATTGCCAACCACGGCGATAAATAGAAATACGTTCATGACCAATTGGCACGCAAAGTGCGAGAGAGGGGTGATAGCCAACCACGGCAAGAAAAGAAAAGAAAGGAATATAGAAAAGAGAAGAAAGAAGGATAGACAAGAATCCAGCAATGAGATCCTATCGTACTACATTATGCGATCGGAGTGCATTTTTAAAGCTGGAAAGACATTTTGATGTCTTAACATGCTGGGGAAGTTGCAGCCAAAGGCTGTAGGACAAAAACAGGGGAGAGTTGGTAAATGCGGCTGAATTAGCACGGGGAAGTGAGAGACTATTACGAGTGGACCGGGACAGAGAAAACCAATCGAATACGGAGAGATGAATGGGAATTTTACCTAGGCGAACTCTGTGGATCAAAACGCAAAGCTGCTGTTTGCGATTATCTTGCAGTGGCTGAGTATTGCTGATACAATAGAGCTCAAGACTAGGAAATAAACGCTGCACGTAATACAATATTTTAAGAAGAGATTTATGTTGGATTTCAAGTTTGTTCACAAGATGTTGACTTAGACTACACCAAGACTGACATGCATACTGGAAAAGAGGTAATAGATACGAGCGATAAAACATAGAACGGCATGTATTTGGCAAATGAGAACGATGAGGATATAGTATGCCGAGAACACTACTAGTTTTCTTGCAAATATAGTCTACATGAGGAGCCCATATTAGACAGTCGTCAATAATTATACCAAGGTGCTTATGTTCATGGACAATTTCTATGGTCGATGAGCTGCCAGAAAATGATAAAGACACATTACAGAACTGATCACTAGCACCGCTACAGAAGAACATCACTTTGGTCTTACTAGTGTTCGGTCTCAGCTTCCAAGTCGACATCCAAGAAATGGTGGAGTTTATCTTTTTCTGGGGGTCATTGACTAGCAATTGCTTGCAACTACTGGAAGCGGAAACTGTGGTGTCATCGGCGAACAGTGAAACATTAGGGACACACATCGGTAGTAGGCCTTGGCGGATAATGCTCGAAAAGGTGGCAGATTCTGCTTTTTTTGCACAAAAATTGGCAGAACCATACAAACCTTATGGCGGGCAATTCATCGAATTCTGCTCCATTTCTTTATCCACATACCAAACATGCATGAAACTTACCAGAAAAGTACCGAATTCTGCCAATTTTTCTGCTGGCATTATCCGCCAAGGCCTAATCGGTAGATCATTGACGTAGACTAAAAAGAATAGTGGCCCCAGAATGACCCCTGTGGCACACCAGAATTAATTGCCTGGGGAGACGAGAGGGTGTTGCCGACGCGTACAGCCTGTAACCTGTCAGTTAGGTAACTTTCAAAGAAACAAAGCAGGTTACCACCAATGCCTTAGGCACCCAACTTGGCAATCAGACCTCTATGCCAAACAGTGTCAAAGGCTTTCGCCAGGTCAAAGAAGCATATGCCAGTATGTTCTTTCAAATGTATTTGCCTAGCTATAGCGGGAAAGCAACAACATCAGTAAATCTAGAGAAGAACAGAAATATGTTCAGTGGAAAAGCAAGCCTCGGAAACTACTAGTAGTAGTGTTAGCTACTGATACTCGCTACAACTGAAACAAATCTCTCCCAAAGCCTTTTATACGCGCCAATAGCCATGCTGTTATGTAGGAGTGACTGACAGGAGACCAAGAGCCGATCGTAGGTTAATGGAAAGCCCTACACACATCATCCTCAAAGCAAGTGGTCTCTTCGCTGCAAATTCCTATTTCCTCAATCCCAATTTCGGCTAGGTTGCATCATTAGGATTAGCCATTAGACATCAGCTATCACAGTGATGTATCCTAGCCGAAAGGTGGATAGAAATGATACGAATTTGCAGCGAAGAGACCACTTGCTTTGAATATGGAGTTTGCAGGGTTTCCCATATCTCTTTGTTCTACACCAGGCAACTCATGCAGGTTCGTACTATCGTTGTGACATCATCGCGCTCAAGTGCTGTGTACACCGCTAGGTCCCCATTGAGTGATTTTGCGTGGCTACTACTACTCACTAGTAACAGTAGTAGTAGTACTAGTAGTAGTAGTCGCGTTGGAGTAGTGGTGTGATTGAAAAGGTCCAAGTCCTTAGCTGATGTGTCACTACGAGTCTTGTAGTTGATTCGCTACCATCGTACATGGATGTCCGTCCTTGCAGGAGTCCGTCGAAGAGTCTTGCCGCAGTAGCTACGTGTATTTACTAGCTTACAAGAGCTCAAACAGCCGAGCTTTCCTTTCCAATTGCAATATACTCCCCCTTTCTAGATTTACAGTTGTTGTTGCGGGCCAGCAGCAGTAATTCTCGTAACTGATGGTCGCAATCACTCCGGACGCTGAAATACAAGGCGGCAGAAGCTCACCCAGACGGATCGAAGACTGACTGCCACGGACAGTAAGGAGACCTTACATCTGTTTACATTTTTTGTTGCGTTCCCACATTGTTCGTAATCATTTTCTACTCCGAAACAATGGTTCGTCGAGTTGCTGGTGAATGAAGCACCAGTTGAATGTGTCGTCGATCAGCGCTAACACTATCAGCTTGGCTCGTCAAAAACATGTAGTTGTGGGGAAAGAAAATCGGATGTGCAGTTTATGTGTTGTCAGTACAGTCCTAAGCAAACTGATTTCTTTTTGGCAAAATTTAATGACACAAACTCGGCTCAAGGCAATTACCAAGAAACGTGAAGACATTTTAAAAAGGATGGAGAAGATACGACTGGAACACAGAAGTTGAGGGAACCGTATGTGAACGTGTCTTCAATGAAGTTAGCCAGTATTACAAATTGAGGTTTAACGGACCAAACAATTACCGAGTCGCTCTTGAGTCTTTAGAGAGCGCATTTGGGTAATTTTGGTCGTCGTGTGCACGTCAAATAAGGTACTTGGTACATAGAAAGTCGTTCGCTTGTCGCGCAAGCCAGTTGGTCGCTGTATCCGTGCATGGAAAAATGGTCGTTATAGGCAGGTGGTCACTAAAACCAGAGGTCGCTTACACCAGATTTTACTATACTCATATTAATGAGCAACCAAAAGAGTGGGCCACGGAAAGAAAGCTATTAATGTCATGATGTGATGTAGTGATTCAAAGATGATTGGGAAATGATTTGACCTTCCTCTCGAGCGGTGGTTCCGCTTTTGGAAGTTGCCATGGTGCTTTCCGCTCCTTAATGAGTAAGTAATATACATGTACGTGAGATGAGAGCTAGTATTGTAAGTTCAAAAGAAATATGGCCACAAGACAGTAATTGAGATAATAAGCCAATGGCAGGATTTGTAAACAGGGCATAAACGTTCAGTTGATCATCAGGTTGCAAACATGCTGGCAATTCAGAGTGGGAGAGTGCTAGAGTGACTGACAGGAGGCCAAGAACCGACGGTAGGTTAATGGAAAACCCTACACACATCATCCTCAAAGCAAGTGGTCTCTTCGCTGCAAATTCCTATTTTCTCAATCGTATTTTTACTGACAGGTTGCATCATCAGGATTAGCCATTAGACATCAGCTATCACAGTGACGTATTCTAGCCGAGAGGTGGATAGAGATGATATGAATTTGCAGCGAAGAGACCACTTGCTTTGAGGATGGAGTTTGCAGGGTTTCCCATGTCTCTTTGTTCTACACCGGGCAACTCATGCAGGTTCGTACTATCGTTGTGACATCATCGCGCTCGAGTGCTGTGTACACCGCTAGGTCCCCATTGAGTGATTTTGCGTGGCTACTACTACTCACTAGTAACAGTAGTAGTAGTACTAGTAGTAGTAGTAGTCGCGTTGGAGTAGTGGTGTGATTGAAAAGGTCCAAGTCCTTAGCTGATGTGTCACTACGAGTCTTGTAGTTGATTCGCTACCATCGTACATGGATGTCCGTCCTTACAGGAGTCCGTCGAAGAGTCTTGCCGCAGTTGCTACGTGTATTTTCTAGCTTACAAGAGCTCAAACAGCCGAGCTTTCCTTTCCAATTGCAATAATATTATACTCCCCCCTTTCTAGATTTACAGTTGTTGTTGCGGGCCAGCAGCAGTTATTGTCGTAACTGATAGTCGCGATCACTCCGGACACTGAAGTACAAGGCGGCAGAAGCTCACCCAGACGGATCGAAGACTGACTGCCACGGACAGTAAGGAGACCTTACATCTGTTTACATTTTTTGTTGCGTTCCCACATTGTTCGTAATCATTGTCTGCTCCGAAACAATGGTTCGTCGAGTTGCTGGTGAATGAAGCACCAGTTAAATGTTTCGTCGACCAGCGCTAACACTATCAGCTTGGCTCGTCAAAAACATGTAGTCGTGGGGAAAGAAAATCGGATGTGCAGTTTATGTGTTGTCTGTACATAAGCAAACTCTTTTCTTTTTGCCAAAATTTAATGACACAAACTCGGCTCAAGACAATCACCAAGAAACGTGAAGACATTTTAAAAAGGATGGAGAAGATACGACTGGAACACAGAAGTTGAGGGAACCGTATGTGCAAGTGTCTTCAATGGAGTTTGCGAGTATTACGAATTGAGGTTTGACGGACCAAACAATTAGCGAGTCGCTTTTGAATCTTTACTATCCACTTGATTGTATTTCAACCTGAGCTTAGAGGAGATGATCGGCCTAAGTGTAAATGCTAAGCGACACTAGCTGCTGATTGGGACCTTATAGCCTTTGTATATGTTTGAATCAAGGAGATTGAGGCTAGTTTCGAATGCCCAGTCTTCCTGACATATCCGAAGGTGCGATCTTCTTTTCTGCCCGTAAAAGAGGGCACTTAACCCTGTTGCAGTCAACCTGGCCAGCCAAGAGGGCCCAGGCCCAATAATTTTGGTTAATTTTGGTGCCGTGTGCAGGTCCAATATGGCACTTGGTACATAGAAAGTCGTTCGCTTGTCGCGCAAGCCAGTTGGTCGCTGTATCCATGCATGGAAACACGGTCGCTATAAGCAGGTGGTCACTAAAACCAGAGGTCGCCTATACCAGATTTTACTATACTCATATTAATGAGCAACCAAAAGAGTGGGCCACGGAAAGAAAGCTATTGTCATAATGTGATGTAGTAGTTCAAAGATGACTGGGGAATGCTTACAACGCTCATGTAGGAGGACTCAATGTAGAGATTTATCGATGCATTGGGGGCTCCTAGTGTACTAGTTTTTGGTCGATTTCACAGAAAGCTTTTGAGTTTTGAAGTTATAAGAAATTTAGTGTAGATCGGTCACTTCTTGGACGACAACTATACCCAAATGGTTTTATTCCACTTATACCTTTACTAAGTTTCTGCGAAAGAAAGAAATTATCTCAGATATATTCATGTACAAGTCTCTCTCCCTCTCTCTCCATTTTCACCCATCCTTTGTAGGTAGGTTCCCTTTCGGGTGGCAGGGGGGGGGGGACGCTTTTGAAGGAAACCTCAAACAATAATACATCTCAAAAATTGCCAAAGAATCATAGTATGAGTTTCAGGTCTAAATACAAGCCACAGAACAGTGTGCATAAACAAGCTACAAACCACACACAACAAAGCAAAAAAATGGCTCAAACTTCGAAACTCACCCTGCTGTTTACCCTCCAGACAGCTGGAACTATGAATTGAATGCAGAAAACAATCATCAGAAACCAAAGTTCCGTTTAACTGTCGACTTAAAGCGTTCATCAGTATGTAGAATAATATTAATCGCTTTGCTAAGATTGTGTGTGCATTAAACCCTTTGTCAAAATTGTTGGCGTGAAGAGTTTTTCGAAATTAATCAGTCATTCGAAATGTACATAAAACAGCCAATTACGGTGTTGTTTGCCTTGCTCTAGGTTGGTCAACTGGCGGATTGGGCTATAGCTAATGCGATCAAAGGCCTCAAATTTGCAAGATGAAGATCAGGTGAGTCAGGGTAACTCTACTCTTGTGATTGGATGCCTTCCAAGACTCAGAATATGCATGACAAACATGAATGCAGTGTTATCAATTGTCATATGTTTCAGGGAACAGTTCAAACTGAAAACATTTCAGAAGAAACATTGATTGTCACCACCAGCACTCAAACCAGGGTTGTTGTTAGTTCTGTATTTCAACTGCATGTTTGTGCAGTAGTGTACCCAGATTACTCAGGCGTGAAGAGGGAGTGCTCTCAAATCTGCTCTAACGAAAACTTCATAATGCGGCACAAATCGAGTTCGTGTAGTTTATGTCTGGTAACATCCACTGATCACGTGGTAACATCCTCTGATCACGTGGTAACATCCACTGATCACGTGGTAACATCCACTGATCACATTCTAACATCCACTGATCACGTGGAGACATCCACTGATCACACTGCAATGTTTGCCGGTTTGCTTGCGTGCATTTGCACCGCTGCTTGAGTTCTTTGCGACACTGCACACCCATGGCCAGCTTATAGCTTTGCAAACGACAAGCTTGACGTCAAACGTATCTTCCACGACAGTCACGGGTAGCCAAAAATGGTGTCGTTCCTGGATGTCCACGACTTTTTGGTTTCTTTTCGTTTCTTTCTGTTGGCTTCACAGCCAAGTCAAATGTTTTGTTTGCTCCAAGCTCGTCTTAGCATCAATTTTCACTATCCATCCCTTTTATAGTACATGTGTCCTCTTTTATGATCCTGTGGGACGTGTCACGCAGCTTGATACGTGAAAAGTGGATTGTGAGCAACACTGGCTGACACTCAATGACGGCTTTTAACAAATATATTTCAGGAAACGTATTTCAACGTGTCGGTCATAAAAAATAGCCATCATCAGGAGTGAACTTGGTATGCTGGCTACTTGGGTTTAAAAATGAGCAGAGTTGCGAGCAGATAATAATTCACCCACGCATGTACTATGACGAGGGAGAAACGAAGTTAACAAAACACAAAACATCCCAAAAAAATGTTCGGAAATAGCACGATACCCAACAACTCTAAGGGGGCGTTCAAAATGTCTTCATCAACTGTTCGAACAAATTTTAAAAGAGATTAGTTGAAGTGTCCCATTAGAACGGTTTCTATCATTTGCGCCTATCATTTTAGAGTTTTTCAGGAGAATTGTCAAGGCGATGATGTCGTCCGATCAGATCAACCATCTCCACGTACTACGTGACGTAGCTAATCCAAACTCTTCGGAACTAATCCACCTCTCCCATCGGATGAGGTTGTGGAGTTTCGAGGAGTTTCGAGGAACTTCGTTTTTCTGAAGAGGCCAATAATAAGGCCACCTCTTCAGAAAATCGAAACTTTTCGAAAATTCAAAGGTGACAATTCGAACGCGCCCTTAATATGCCACAGGCGCCAAAACAGACAAGTACATGTAACTTACAACCTTCCTGAAAAAGATTTTTGAAAACCAGTGATTGAGTGTCAGCCAGTGTTGCTCACAAGTCAAAACCCACTTATGTATCCTCTTACTAATGGTACTCGGGCAATTAATTGCTGTCTTTGCATTGCTTTGCACCCCTATTGTGGGTGTACAGTGTAGAGTGGTTGCACATCTTGCCAAAGCGGCGCAGACCCCCGAGTCGCATGACGCAGGGTAAAATCTTTATTTCAGGATTACCCAAAGGCGGTAGGCGGCCATGTTGGAGGAAATGCAAGCTGAGGCATCTTAGCAAGTACATCAAAGAAGAGTGAAGCGGGTGGGCTTTTTGGCATTATTTCTTGCTCTTGTTTCAGAGAAGAGGATTGTTTGTAGTTGAAACCTGCGAATATGATCAGTGTGGAACGGTCAAATCAGACTGCTTCTACTGTTGCGGCAAGGGCGCCTAATGAAGTACAAGTGCGGAGTCGCGATCGCAGGTCGTCAAAATCTTACCTTACGCTGACAAGCTGGATCAAGTACATGTAGTTGCAACGCAAAGATATCTGGACAGAATTTCGGCCCTAAGCTTGGCGCACTGCGTGGATGCAAAGCGGTTGCTCCTCTTGTGGGAGAAGTCGTCTTTGTGTCATACTTAGTGATAGCTACTGGCTTCTCTACCAAGAAGGACTTCAAACCTATAAATAAAAGAAGCCTCGCATACCATAATGGACTTCTCGTGTTCTCTGGATGGCAGTCGTGAGTCAGTCAAGTGTCAAGCCGTCGGCGGAATAGCGCGAGCTCCAGTGTAGGAGGAAACCCATTCCTAAAACAAATCATCGCCAAAGTCGCAACCTCTATTTTGTACCCGCATAGTATAACCATTTTTTTGTCTGGCTGGTTGAATGAGGTGAAGTCGTTCCAGCAGAATGGGAAACATATCAAATTGATGTCACCAGGGCTAGGGTGAGCGATACTAGCCATGGTGACAAATCATATTGCCGTGCTACCAAAAATATTGTGCCCTAAAAGCAACGTACCCAGTCCACGTTGAACTGATCAAGCAAGCCAGCAGGCTTATCGCCCAGGAAATGACTTGGTGCACAGAACATACCCTCGCCGTATCCGAGATTATTGTCTTTCCCTTGATTGTTTTCAAGAGTGTAAAATAATGTTACTGAGATGTTTCAGTGTGACCAAAACAAAGCATGTGCGAAACAATTATTATTATTTTTTAGCTCTGACATTCAAACACGTTTTCTGATGTTCATGGCCATACCTGACTTTTCTTTTACTGACCCTATCAGGTACATTGTGACGGCAAAAACACAAAACCAAAACAAAACCGAAACAAAAACACCTCAATGCTCAACTGTAAAGGTCCAAAGTTTAGTTTTTCTATTTTATTATTGCATGTACAGAACCAGTCAGGGCTGGACGAAAGCGGAGCTGGAAGAAACCAATGCTCATCCTTACCATCGTGAGTCACGTGCTGTCCGACAACCTCAGCAGTCAGAAAGAGATGCTGAAACTGGCCATCTACGGTTAGAAGACGTCACCAATAGTAACGAGCATACTCCTGCGCATGCGGCGGACTCCATGGACGGATCTAGTAACGAGGAAGAGAATGCACCTGATGAACGTCACGAGTTAGTGAATGAAAGCTCCTACAATCTCGACAGTGTCATCTACGATGTGTGGTCCGAGTCATTGCTACCTTACCTTGATGTCAGGTCAATTTTTCGCCTTTGCGGAGTGTCCCGGAAGCTACGAAAACTGTTGCTGACGGAGCAGACATTCAAGGCTATCTGTGTGGTAAGTAATGGGGAGAGGGGGGGGGGGGGGGGGGGGAGGTGAAAAGAATGATGAAATGTACACTTGCAAGAAAATGGAATGATGTCACTGACTACAGTGCTCTCTTGTTTGGCGCTCTTGGCGGTGTAACTTGGTGTTTTTTATCACTGTTTCTGGAAAAGCCACTACGAAGTGTGGTGGAGAGTAGTGGCTGTGTAGCCAGTCTCTCCGGAGGCGTGGGTTCGAATCCCACCGCTGCCACCAATTTGTAGCGGGCCGCAGTCTCTCTCGGAGGCAAATGCACACGGGTCTCAGTGAACACACTGTAACTGGCAATTGAAATGTACTGGCAACGAAATTAACTAACTGGCAACTAAATTAACTGATTGGCAATAAAAGAATCGTGAGCAGCAGCTTTTATGCAAAGGCAGACTCCGTACGCTAATGTACGGGGATACGCTAACGTATGGGGATACAGTACGGGGATATGCTAACGTACGGGAATACAGTAACGTACGGGGATATGCTAACGTACGGGGATACGCTATACGCTACAGCTGTATAAGAAAAAGATACGGCCACATTGTCGAGAAGCAAAGACGAGACGAGGATCTGCCGAAAACGAAAACGCGTTCACAGAACGACCGTACACAGCACGACGTTTCACGGAAAGGAATTCACAGACGGACTGTTCACCGCCAATTCCGATTCAACGAAATATAATTATGGAGGACTCAGTGACAAGTCGTGCCTCATGACCAATCACGGTCCTCGTGACCAGCAAAACAGTCACACCCCCCCCCCCCCCTCCCTGACCAGTCACAAATTAGTTTACCAGTTACAATGCCTCATGACCAGTCATAAATCACCATACATGTACATGCGTAAAGTACACAGTTCGTGACTGCTCACGGAGTGCTTCGTACTGCAGGACTTGCTCTGGAAAATATAAATCCCTATGAGGGGTCACAGGCAGAATACAGGCCGTGTGACCACTATAATTCTACACGAACAGTTACATGCGAAATGTACAGTTGTGACCACTATTTCCCTGTGAGTAGTCACATGCAGAATGTAGGTATATCTGTATTATTCTTTCTCTTTTCATACAATTCACAAGCCAAGAAGTGATGCGCAGACCGTAGAACCGTACTCATGTTGTGATACTGATCGCAAACATTATTATTCATTTAGTCCCCGATGGCGTGACGGCAATAAGGATGATTGATTAGTTCCCCCAGGCCATTCGGCACCCAATTCTAAACCTTATCTAACCAAAGTTCTTTTCAAAGCAACATGCCAGTTCAAGAACATCTGTTCAGACCTACAGTCATAATTATGGCTACAAGCCTCTTATACGGCCAAGGCAAATGTGCTTACATAATATTATGACACGAAATCTCATTACGAAAAATGAACAAAATGCCAAGAATCTGAAGTCATAATTATCCTTTTACATGTCTGGTGCTGCTCTCACTAACGAGCATGCATAGCAGGCTACATTTGCACCAGCCATCACAAGAAGCTGTAGTGAGTGAATATTTCTATTAATAAGTAGAAGGCAAAATACGCAATGGACAAATGAAGGTGGAGGATCGCCCAAAAACACTGACAAGAAGACACTAAACGGGACACAGTACTCGTATGCACGCAATATTTTTGGATTTCACGGTTCGCGTGAGATTCGGCCGGAAACCGAGTTTTTCGCATCCATAGGAACGCCACCACCCTTCAAGGATCAAGGCACAGATGCAGCTCCTCAAGCGGTGGGAGATGAGTAGATCAGCTCACCAGCAAGTGGTCAAAGACCGAAAATCCCATTCACTGAACCCATGTTTTCCTCGTGCCAGGCCAGAGTTCCCAATTAACTAAGGGTCGCAGCACGGCCGGAAAAAACTCTTTCCGCTTCCAAACAGGACTTGAACCAGGTACCCTCTCTTTCTCAGTCATGGTCTTAGACCATCCCACTATGCCTGCCTGTAAATATTATAATACACGCTAGAGCAGCACAACGAAAAAGATCATGTACCATAATGTTACATGAACAAATTTTACCGTTAGAGTTATTTTGGGAGTAGCAATGGAGATGAGTTCGAAGCAATAAACTGTGCAAGCATTACGTTGAGCCGCAATATTGAAATACAGTTTCCTGCAGTCAAAACAAGACACTCACACGTCTCTAGTCTACATGGTCAGTCTCATTGCTAACCGTACCATGACTTGATTTACTTTCTTGCGATGGTTCTTGAGAATGGATCAATGCTGTCTTGAATAGATGTCTTCCCTGACCGACATCAACTGAGAGACAGATTCAGTTTCAACAAGCTGGACATTGTATTTCTGTGGAGTCTTCCACAAGAAAGACAGAGCTACACACACGAAGGTGCTTGATGTACTCAGTACCGTGTTGGAGATGAACATGTTTTCATTTCCATCTTCATTATATTTTCGTCTCTGCATCGTCGACGATGTCCACTTCTGACTTCGTAATCTTGTCACCCATCCTCTCCAATTACACAAAGCGAGTGCTGCTTGTATGCTGGAGCAGCTGATATCAGCCTCCGTTTTAGCAAGATCGGCATAGAACAAATTACCTGACTGAAAATAATCCAAAAAAGCTTTTCTGAACGACGACGTTTGTTCTTCAAAGATGATGAATAGCACAATCGACTAGCCAGGACGTCCTCTCCAAAGAGATTTCATCAGAAACCTGCTAGATGTTCGATCACTCTTCGTTTTAGAGAGGAACGCACACACCAGTAGCCCTTTCCCAAAGGTGCTCGCCAGTTTCCGCCCTTTTTAGAAAAGCCCGTTTCTTTCGCCCTTTATTGCGTTTTTGATGAATATCACCCTTTAGAGCTTTTTTAGCTGAAAAACTGCTAAAATCTGTTTGCTCATGCATGCGATCATAGTTTCCGAGTGCTCCATGGGCCTTGGCACGCCGCTTTTTTTGGGGGGGGGGGGGCAACAAGTAACAAAGTGGTGAAGCTTGTACCCGGTGTACACAATGCTGTAAAAAGTGGGTTTTTTGAACTGTACTTCCTGTTTTACCTTTCGTGGACCCATAAATTAATGGAAGAGTGCATATTCATTTCTCACCTTGGGTTCATATCTGAACATGTATCATGGCTTTGCTTCACTATAAAAAGAGCACTTTTGCATGTTTTCACTGAAAAAGAGCACTTTTTCAGCATATTTTGAAGGACGCGAAAAGCACTAAGTGCGAATTAAAAGAGCACCTTTTGGAAAAGGCTACACACCAGACTAGAGCTACAAGTAGACTACACGGAGATCGAGAGTTGATCGAAATCTTTCTTGCTCACTGCTGGGCCTGTGAGTGTGAAGGAAAAAGTTTGTTGATCACGTGAATGCCCACAGTTGAGTCGTAATGTTTTTACGCGGATCATTTGACCGTTCACAGAGAAAGTCGCGGCTGTTTGTGACTGGTCATCGGGATTCAAACTGGTGTGTGGCTTAATGATTGGTCACGGAGATCGTGATCAGTCATCGAGACGTGACTGCTCACAGAGTCCTACAAATATTCATAGATTTTTCATTTACCAAATTCTGTGTCGTGGAATCCCGGTTTCACGGACGCGTTTTGAGGCCGGCGCAGGAGCTCCAGAAGTGCTCCCGTCCTACATCGTACTCTCTTCACAGTTTTTCAAAGTATATCAATACTTGCTCCACCTCAGGAGGAAATTCAGCTTCCAGTGCTTCGAGTGACTCAATACACTCGGCAACGTCGCCCAGCCGAACGAACGCATGATTCAAATAATGATGTATATCGATGACATCAGCGGCATGTTTTCGGTGAAACTGTTATGCGTTGAACTTTTTATTCTATAAATGATTCGAATGCAATATAATTACATGTATAGCGATGTCATCGGCGACGGGTTTTCGATGAACCTGTTTTCCGTGAACCTGATATTCGGCAAAGTGAACAGTCGCTATATCTACACTCTGTGAAATGTCTTTCCGTGAAACGTCGCGCTGTGAATGGTCGTTCTGTGAAGGCGTATTTGATGAGCCGTCGAGAACCCAGAACACCAACTTGATCCGCAGTGTTTAAAGCTTTTTTATAAAATCAAATCAATGTTATGCAGTGTCCTTGAAAGTATGATTGCTGTGATGCTTCATTCTCTTTTTGGTGTTACATGCACAGCGTCGCTACGGAATCAGCCCATTGTTGGATTCATCCGACTTGAAGTACATTGACACCAGCAAAACGTTGTATGTGGCAACAGCAGTTCTTAGATTAGATCCGATTATGTGTGAACGAATCAACCATTGTCTTCCTTCTATCGAATTGGATACTATGCAGTATGGACCTCGTTGCCCCATCCCGTTTCTGCCCTTTCTGTCTTCCAAAATGGGAACGTTCAAAGTGGAGAGGTGCTTCCCTGGGAAAAGGCTTACTGATCTCTACATGGAAGATGTTCGGTTAGTTATAACAGCCGCAACTAAACACTTGCCCAAGCTGCAGAAAGATGATATTTCGCGAACACGTCACCAGCAGACTCCTCATGTATCAAACTCAGGGTACAGCTGCAATGATCATCTCGACAGACTGAGAGACCTGTCGTTGCAACGATGTGGTTCTCCGGAAGTCTATCAGACACTTCTTATCGAAAGAATTGCATATGCCACTTCGAAAGTGATTCCCCTCCTTCAGTATCACTATCGCGCTCAGAGACTTCTTAAAGTAGGTCGTGCATTGTCATCGATAAATGAACAGTTCCCTGAATTACTGCTATACCTCGGTTTGTGCTGGTCAAGAGGCCAGAGTCCTGATGTCTTTTTGACATTGCCATTGAGAGCCAGTGCGGGGCATTCCACATTGCAGCTGTACGTCATGAATCAGCTAGATATATCTTTGGAGAACTACTTCATGGTTTGCCTGAAGTACCGCAAGCTCAGAGATATGCAGGGGATCACAACCGAACTCGGATGGACACAATTCTACTCAGGTTTGGGCAAGTATCTCAGAAACGTGTTGAGTCGCGAC